TATTATTAGGATTTGCTGAGGATCATAAAAAAGTCATCGTTAATTGTCGTCAAGATTTAATATTGCAACGGAGTGGTACAGATTTAAACTGTATTTACTCGACAAATGAAAGTTTAACGAGTTGTAAAATTATTTTGAACAAAGTTATATGGAAAGTTCCACATGTAAGTGTGTCGAATGCCATGCGGTTAGACATGTTCAAAATCTTGGAAACCTCAACACCACTTCAAATAGCATTTCGAAGTTGGGATTTATATGAAAATCCCGGCCTACCAAATAGTAAAAAACAATCCTGGACTGTGAAATCTTTATCGCAGACTGAGAGCCCGAGATTTGTTATTGTAGCATTTCAAGTGGATAGAAAAAATAAAATAAACAAAGATAGTAGTAGATTTGACCATTGTTCGTTATAATCTATAAAAGTGTACTTGAACTCTGAATCGTACCCCTACGACAACTTGCGTATGGACTTTCCAAATGATAAGTATGCTGTACCATATCACATGTACACTCAATTCCAAGAGGCGTACTATGAAAAGAGATGACGTGTCCAATGCTGACAAAAACAGAATTCAAGACAACTGCTCCATTCATTGTCATTGACTGTTCGAGCAAAACGAAAAATTAAAAAATGCGCCAGTAGATATTAGATTAGAATTTGAATCTGATGAAAATTTTCCGACCAACACTACAGCATATTGCTTAATTGTACACGACAAAATGTTTGAATATAATCCTATGACTAATGAAGTTCATAAAATATTATAATTTGTTATTTTCAAAAAATAATGTAAACAATTTTATTTATAAAATACTAATAATTATTAATACTATTTATAAAATACTAATAATTATTTTCTATTCTAAAGGAATGTGTTATTTACTTTAATACCTTATCTTTATTATATTTCATTTATTTAGTACATAAATCAAAAGCGAATAGTTTAAATAATATAATGTGTAGGCGTGAAAAAACGATGAACGATATCATTTTTTCTCATAAATTATATACAATGATTATTACTGTACGGTGACATCTATGATGTTTGAAATATGCTTACCTAAGTGTCTGGTAGCTGATGATAAAAATTCTTAGAAATGCAGAAGTGTTATAATATAGTAATACATTTGATGTCTGGAATATGCTGACCTAAGCGTCTGGTAACCAACGATAAAATACTATATAAAAAATGAATGCATACAACAGTGATTATTACTGTACGGCGACATCTTTGATGTTTGAAATATGCTTACCTAAGCGTCTGGTAGACGATGATAAAATTCTTAGAAATTATAGTTATACATTTAATAATACACAGACAGCGTTACAATTGTTCCCATATAAAATTACAGACGCTTATGAGCCATATAATATAATGTTCCCTTTAATGTTTGAAATATGGTTATCTAAGCGTCTGGTAGTCTGGATTATAATATGGCGGTATCTTTGACGTTGGAAATATGCTTAGCTATGAATCTGGTAGCCAATAGTAAAATTGATATAAATTATTTATTATATACACTCTATAGATGTGCGGTAAATTAGTTTACGTCTTGTTTCATCATCATCCATTATAAGTTAGTTTAAGTGAAGATTTATTACCCCCTCCCTCTGTAGGAATTGTTGACGGACACCCCTGCTGCGTTAATATTAACCCAACCGAAGCGGTCTTGTTCACGGGCAGGTACAAGTTCACTCCTCCACAGCTCGCCGTGCTGGGGGTGGAGATCCCGCTTAAGGACTCCATGACTTATCTGGACCTTGTCATAGACAAACGTCTAAAGTTCGGGCCGCACATTACTCGTGCGGCCC